CGGACGAATTCAAGCGTTCGATTCGCGGCAAATCCGCCACTGCCATCGCCCAGGCGCTCATCTCCGAATCGGAGCGCAACATCAAGAGCGCCAAGCGCGAAGAGGAGGACTTCCTAGCCCAAACCCTAATAAGGTCTAGCCGCGCTGCAAGCCGCGCACGGTCCGGTTCGCCGGAGGGTCGCATCTCTTCGCATGGCTATCATTTGGAATTGATGGATGAGCGCCTCGTCGATAAGTTGGACCACCGTGTCTCCTCGTCGTTGTACAATGTCAAGCGTCAGCTGTCGACGCTCAACCAGAAGACAGTGGAATTTTACGCAGATTCCAGGTGCGGCATAGATGATAAGTGTTGGATATGTCGTAAGGTGATGCGCACGCATCCCAAATTAAAGGACTATAGTTATGTATATTGGCAGTAATGGGATAGTCGGACATACAGACGTCGGACAAACGTTCGAGACGAACAAAGGGTGGTAGACAAAATTAAAACAAAAAACTATTCGACATATTTGTTAACGTGGTAAAGTTAGTCGGCTTAGCAGTCAAGAAAAAGTGTTGAAAGCGAGTCGCGCTTGTTTTGGCTGAGATTGATCTAAGGCATAGAGCACGGTAGAGTTTGGGTAGTAGGTGCGGCCTTTCCTAGCTGTTGTCACCTGTTTAGATTCTTATTCCATTGGTTTTCTTCTAACTCATTGCCCAAGCATTCTGCACTCATGCAATTTTTAGTACATCAATTTGCAAAATACATAAAGTCTCATAAGTTAAACATGTCGAGGTGGTACACAACATAACATTTGCATGACCCATTTGCACCCGCAACCGGCCGATCCATCCTCGTGCGATATGCGCGCATACCTTCGAGTTATTTAACATTCAAATGCATGAAATACCTTTTGGGACGCAGCCGTACACAAGACACACACACACACACACACACAGAAATACATTAAAATATTTACAAACACAATTTCTTGCTGTTTTTCAATTAAACTAATTCAATTTTCAATTCAATGCTGTTGTGTATTTATTTTCGCAATATTTTTTCCCTCAACGCTTAAGATTTTTTTTTTTCGCCTATTTAACTCATTTATTCGCCCAAAATGCGCAAAATGAAAAAAACACACTTTTGTGCTTAGGCAACAAAATTTATTCACGTACATACTACATACATATTTTTGCTACTTTTTCGACTTTTTGACAATGCGAAACGTTCATTGCAAAAAATGTTTGCTGAGTTTGCATTGGCATTATTTTTGGCATCAGCCGAATGTGAATTTCGCTTTGCAACAGAAAAACAGCAAAAAAAAAATAATAGCAAGAAAAAATAATTTCATGCGAATGGTTTTTACAAGCGTTCTGTAGCTCATAAACGCTAGAATTTTTGCGAAACTAGCGTTGAGATGTCTGCTTTATTTGATGTATGTATGAGGAAATGGGCTGTTCTGGTAGACAAGCTACAGGGCGATGAAGAAGGGAAAGAAGGCGGTCAGGAATGTCGCAAGCTAATCGCTTAAGTAAATGTACTGAAGACTCGAGCGTGGCAATCGCTCATACAAACGTTGGTACTTGTTGAGGGAATGGAGGCAAACTAAGGGGTTTCTTCGCATGATAAATGTACATACATAGATAAATGATTCGAATGTGGGCTTATTTTTATGTTCATATTGTATGTATGTATGTTTGTATGTATATTTTGGCAAAGGATGCATGCTATAGTGCATCTATAGCAGATATAAATGTATATTGAATGCAATAACTTCGGAACTCTTACAAAATGGGTTTCCGACTTATTAAGAGGAAAGCAAAACTGCTGCAGCGTAAGAAGCTGATTTTTCTTTTGCCCGCTCTTTAGAAATCTTGAAATAATAAAATGATGGAAAAATGTTTAGTTAAACTCCAAAAATGTTAGCGAAAATCAATTTAGACATACTGATTGATAGACAGACTAAGGGCCATTTTCGCAAGCAACTTTTAAATTTAATAGCTATGTCTACTTGAAAAACGGCCCTAAAAGATATTTAATAAAAAACATTCGCGTATGTAATAACACTCATTACTTAATCGCATTCCTTTTTATAAATGTCAACTTCACCGGCTTTCATGTAACAGTTCAAAGTTCAAGATTCTCCGTCAGTGAATTGCTTGCAACTGTTTGACAATTCCAATATTTCGTGGTTCGAGCCCAGAAAAAATTTACACTATGACTGAGAAACCGAACACCAAAACCATAGAACTCCTATTTAAGAACATGTAAATTTCTGTAGAAAAACCATTAAGTATTAATACTTTGGCTGCAAGCCGTCAATCATCGTCAGTAAAACAAAAAAAAAAAACTAGAACGCCGAATTTGCAATTGGTATTGAAATGACAATGAAAACAGACTTGATGACTAATATTAGCAACCCAAAATGGGTATTTGTAATTTAATGCTCAGTGAAAATCCAGCATAAGGCCTGTTTTCACAATGAAGAGTTCATATACATTCGTCACTTAAGTAAAGAAGCTCAGTAAGCTGTTTATAGTAGACTATAAAAACAGCCTAAGGGTCGCTTTCTCAAGTAGGTTTTAAAATTTATCTGCCCTTTAAACGCATATTTTAATAATAACAAAAAAATGTTTAAAGGGAGATATATAATTTTTAAAACCTACTTGAGAAATCGGCTCCAAAATCACATTTATGTATTTATCCACATAGCAAAATTCAAAGCTATTAAAAAACGTGATTGATTAGCACCTTTTGAAACCTTTCTAAACTTATGATTTGTGCCCATAATTTAGAAAGTGATCTAAGGGCCGGTTGTTCAATGCCTGATTTTCACTACCCTCAGCTAAACGACGATTTCGACATCATGCATATAAACTGTGATCGATAAAGCAGTCGTTCTATTTAACCGGAGCTTCTATCTCCGATTTGTATTAACCAGACATTGAACAACCGGCCCTAAGTAATTTCCTACCTCTTCCGCTTAAACGGCCAGTTACTTGTAACTGAATGCATTGCATCATGATGAAGTTGAACGAATAACAGACGTGTTTAGGCATGATTTGACTTAGTTAGACCACTTTGTAAATTATAGGCATATTCATGTATGCAAATTAATTTCCTGTCTCTCAAAAACTTTCAAACCCCAACCCAGAAACCCGAACTAGATTTTGTTTTTTTTTTTAAATATCACTTTAACAAATATTTAGGTATTTGCCACATTTGCAAAACCACTTATTTTGTCAAATTACTTGTGCGGCCTTCGCTGCAGCAGAGCAGCAGTACAAGCTATTTTATTATTTTTTTCTAATTCACCTACACTTTTCCCATTTTAAACGTCTGCAGATGCCTCATGACAGCTTCCAACCCACAAGCAAACATACGTAAATATCTACATACTGATGTATGTTTAAGTGTATAGTGCACGATATAAGTAAACGCACTTAGGCGCACCAAAAACATTACAAAAATCCAAAAAAAAAAAAATAATTTTAGCGTAGTCGCTCGCTAAGCGAAATAATGAAGTCGTCTGGCAAACACATTGGTCGAGGGTATTGAATAATATTTAATAAAAAATTACAAAACCTAATGAAATTTAAATTTCCGAATGATGTGTCTATATGCTTACATACATAAATATTGCATTATTCTGCAATAAATGCAAATAAAATAAAAATAATAATGATGAAAACCTTAGGCAACAACTATCTAATTGAGCCAACGGTTAAACGAAACTAATTTCCATATGAAAGAAATTGTTTAATTCTATGGACTACAAAACGGCCTAAAACTTGAAATTTCGAAGACGAGTTTTTAAAATTTTGAAAATTGTTGGGAAATTCTGTACGAAATTTTAAACTTTTATTTATGTGGCTTTAGTCGTAGATCCATATATAGTTTTATTAAAAATCAACAAAAAATATCTATGATGAAAAATATTGTAAATATTGTAGACAAATTTGCTGGGCTATTTTCACTGAGACTCATCGAATATTATTCATGTCGTTCATTGTACCCATTAGGGATGAGTCGGTGACTAATTGAACTCTAATTGTGGCCATAAGCAATGAGTCGAGACTAAGTAATTGATCTCCAATAGTAAACATAGGAAATTAGTTGAGAATAATTAATGCCCCCAATTGTACCCCATAGAGACTTAATCCGGAATACTCTTTCATCGAGGTTAGTCACATATGTTCTTACTCATTAAATATTAAATGACAGATCTTATCTGCGGTATCACAATGTCCTTTAGTCGTTCCATTTTACGGCCCGCTATGCGAACACATCATTCCCCATTTATAAAATCCCAAATTAGTACCCACTTTGTATACTACAAACTATGTAGTCATCATCATCGTCGACTCGACACTATGCTGACCCAAATATCTACATACCGTGGCGCAATCACCTGTACAACGCTGCCAAATTCGCCAACATCAGCCATTCCTACTCGCTGAGTCACACTGAGCAAACAAACCCGATAATAATATCAAATCGACATCAAACCCTAAATAAAGAAACATTACAATAGAATTACATAATATTCCTCTTTTTTTTTTGACGAAACTGTGAAGCTTTTGTACAGCTGGCTAAATTTAGATTGATGATGCATACGAACAATCACTTGCAATGGCATTCACGTAAAAGCCTATCAATGGGTGGAATTCGCGAAATTGTGACAAGTTCGATGTCTACGTGGGAAACCTTTGTGTTCGCAGTTGATTGGGACTTTTGTGAACTTTGACCGAGCCACTTTGTCATCCACTATGCGTAAACGTTATAGACTTCAGCTATCTTGCGAAAATTTTATATGAAAATGTCCAACGCGCGAAAGGCATTTTGGAGGATAGCTTTATGCTCGATTCCAAGTGCTATGTTGTGAACAGATATGGCAGTTATTCAATATTATTTTCTTTTTTGAAAGAGGGGACTACCACACCTCTGTCTGTGGGGAAACTGTTCCCAGTTACACATCTACCCACATAGTACAGGGGATATTGTATATAAGGGCGATAGCCAAATGTGGTTCAAACATACATATATTTTATAGTTAGATATAGTTTCTTGCCAAATTCTATAGCTGCTTTCACCACATTGCCACTGGTAACCACTACCTTCATATACATATAAAGCAAGCAGGTGGTCTTGACAAAATGACAAAGCACAAATCCACTGAGCGGGCCTCCGTTTCCCTATATAATACAGATCAAAATAAAAATGAGGTAATTTTTATGCGAAGAAATAATCTCCAAATCACAATGACGGTATTATTTTCAAAATAAATATTTGACTGACCTGCGGCAACACTTTTTCTAAAATACAACTTGTATTTACTCTCTTCTCAGCAAGCAAACTGCCATCGAAATCGAACAATTGAATGCTCGCGTCGTTGAAGCCGAGACCCGCTTGAAGACCGAAGTTCAACGCATCAAGAAGAAGTTGCAGGTGCAAATCACCGAACTGGAGATGTCCTTGGATGTGGCCAATAAGACCAACATCGATTTGCAAAAGGTTATCAAGAAGCAGTCATTGCAATTGACCGAATTGCAGGCCCACTACGAGGATATTCAACGCCAGTTGCAGGCCACTTTGGATCAGTACAATGTGGCTCAGCGCCGCTTGGCTGCACTCAACGGTGAACTGGAAGAAGTCCGCTCGCATTTGGACAGCGCTACACGTGCTAAGCGCACGGTTGAATTGCAGTACGAGGAGGCGCAGACCCGCATCAATGAACTGAGCATCGTTAACGTCAACTTGGTGTCGTTGAAGTCGAAGTTGGAACAAGAATTGTCGGTTGTCGCCGCTGATTACGAGGAAGTCACCAAGGAATTGAGAATTAGCGACGAACGCTACCAGAAGGTTCAGGTAAGACGATTGGTCAAATTTGCTATGCATTCGAATTTAGTTCGATGAAAATACATAAAATGTAAAAATGTACACTCAAATTCCAGGTTGAACTCAAGCACACAATTGAGCAAGTGCATGAAGAACAGGAGCGCATTGTCAAATTGGAAACCATCAAGAAGTCGCTGGAAGTTGAAGTCAAGGTAAGTCTTTGGCATTAAAAACCCATTGTTTGGACCGAATGTTATTAATTCTAATATCCTACACGCAGAACTTGGCCATCCGTCTGGAAGAGGTTGAGATTAACGCTGTTGCTGGCAGCAAGCGCATCATCAGCAAATTGGAAGCCCGCGTCCGCGATTTGGAATTGGAGTTGGAGGAAGAGAAGAGGAGACACGCCGAAACCATCAAGATCTTGAGAAAGAAGGAGCGCACTGTCAAGGAAGTATTGGTACAATGCGAGGAAGATCAGAAGAACATCATCTTGTTGCAGGAAGCTTTGGACAAGTCTACCGCCAAGGTTAACTTGTTCAAGCGCCAGCTGTCCGAACAGGTAACGTGCTCCTACACTGTTGTGGTTAAATAAAGATTATGGAAATAGGGTATTGTTGGAATGGATATGAGGAGTTATGAGAAGAAAGCTTAATAAAATAAACGTTTATGCTTGCGTTTTTCTATACTTGCTTTATTTTTGCATATTTTTGTATCTTTGGAGGCGTTGAGGCGTGGAGTCTACATTCTGCTTCATAAATACACATAGTTGAAAAGTACGCTAACAGTATTTATACCCAACGGGAAATATTTCATATTTATTATGCTTCCTTAGAAGTCTTCTTTTCAAGTATTGCGTTAGGAGCTAAGTAACCACGCCAAAAGTTCGGCTGGCCTTTTTCACTACCCTAAAATTCCACTGGACCCGAGCCGAACAAGAGCTCCAGCTTCTTTGTTATCTATAATCTTTGATCATGGTGTTGTTTATCTCGTAACGCGTATATGTATAACTGGTGTTTCTTATTAAAACCAAAAAAAAAAAATATGTTAATTTAAACTTTTTACGCTGTAGCCTTAGATTTGATGGTACGCCCTATTATCTTCTTCGTAAAGCTTTATTCTCTTCTAATATCCAAAAATCTCCATTTCCAACACTACCTGTTTTTTGTACTCTCAACTGCAGATAGTTGAAGACCCTTAATAACTTGCTCACTTGTCTCGTCTATCCTCTACAGGAGGGTATGTCTCAACAGTCCGTGACCCGCGTCCGCCGTTTCCAGCGTGAACTTGAAGCTGCCGAAGATCGTGCCGAATGTGCCGAGACCAACTTGAACATGATCCGCGCCAAGCACCGCACATTCGTCACCACCTCCACAATTCCCGGCTCCCAGGTTTACATTCAGGAGACAACAAGAACGATCACCGAATAAATAATTCACAACAGTTGCAAAAACAACTGAACACATTTTTATTGTAATTTAAAGATTATGAAGTAACGGAAATCCCGGCAACAACAACAACAACTATATAGCAAACAACTGCATTGGAATGAAAGGGAGAAAAAATACAAAAAAAAAAAAAAAATGAGACCAACAACAACCACGACAACTGCTTCGGTTTTCAAGCGCGAACTTTCTAATGAGCGAAGTTCGCAGAAACTCCCACAACGCAGCCGTTTATGTATTTTTAAATTAAACAAATGAACAACAAATAAACCATCTAAACTAAACTATGTCCTATTTAATTTACAATTAATTTTTGTTACCAGTCAACTTTTTTGTTAAAAGAATATTAAAACCCCAAAAAAAAAACATTAAAGATATATAGAATATAATTGACATTTTTCTAAAATAAATTTAAGCTATCCCATTAATACGAGAGAGAGAGAGCGCGCGCACGCAAATCCGCAAAATGCGAGAGTTTTTTTGAACAATTCTAGAAACCAGTTTTTGCATCAGCGATCTTTCGAAATTTGTAGGTAACCGAGTTTTCTATGAAACATAATAATGAAGTCTACAACTACAACTAACGAACATTGCGGTTATTTCTCAGAATAACGACAAACATTGTAAAATGTATTTGAAAAATAAAAAACGAACGAAATTTAAGAAAACCAAAATTTGCAAATTTCGTTGAAATTCACTTATCGGATTTTATGTAGTTGCAGTTTTAGCAGAAGCTGAGCGTTTGATTCGACCGAAATTCATTTGTAATTAATGCGCTTAAATCTTTCTAAACTTTCGACGTTTTACGAACTTTCGCATTCAATACATTGAGCTTTCATCTCGTTTTTAATGCGCCATTGAATTTTCATAGGCACCTCCCTTACTCAAACACATGCTTACATAAATACATAATGCAAAGTATCACCACATAGAAGTATCTACTAATGAATTTACTTTTTTTAAAGAAAAACATCTATATTATTGAAAAAATATATAAAAACTTATTATGCAATAGACTCACGCTTAGCGCAAAAAATGCAAGTAATTTCATTTCGTTCATGATTTTATAATACTTATTTACTAATAATGATATTGTATTTATATTGAAATGCTTTAGTAATACAGTACATTACATACATACATACACATATGAACCACTTACTTATATAATTTAATGAAATGAATAAAATGAATGCATAAATTAAATAAATTAAATAAAGAAAGTTTAAATTTGGCCAATTCATTTCCTGCTAATCGAATTGAGGCATCTTTGTAGATCATCATTTAGCAACTAAACATTTAAACTAACAGCTATGTAGTCTTTAACTTGGTTTAAACGAACTTTTTCAGTGGGAATCCGAAGGCGACAAAGAGCATTTTTGTCATACAGGTGGGTAACTCACCTCAGAGTTGAGTTATTGAATGGCATCCCACCGGTGAACTGGAACTCATTAACTCAGTTGATGCCCCGTGTCTCATCCCTTTGGTATCGCTCATTTCTGGTAAGTATGAAAAAGATTTCATTTCACTGCGCCATAACGCTCACAAGTTACATACAATAATAGTCTATGAGACAAAGGAGTGTAACATTCAAATGAGTTCAATGAACTGAATCATAAAAGTGAGTTGAAGTCATTGAGTCACTTCTCTGTCGAAGACAAACGCTGTTCCACAGACATTTTGTCAGCCGTATCTATGAGAGCGCTCGGCAGACGATGGTATTCATTTAAGTTAAGCTAAGAAGAACGCTTTCTAAATCTATATCAACAATATCCGATATAAGCAACAAAGCCAGAAAGAGTGGATAATGCAGACACTGGTATATGTAATTATGTACAAATAGGCCAGAGGTAGAGGAAGTAAAGCCTTCTATGAGTTTGAAAGATCAGGTGGAGATGGACTTGCTGTTGCTTCGCAAAGAAGTGAAACGGCTGGCGTGCTATGTTGAACTCGACCAATATCGCTTAAGCGGTTACAGCGCCAATCAATGAGAAAAAGGTCTTATTTTGGTAGTCATTTCGGCGTCAATGCCAACTCAAATATGTTGAGAGATCTTCTCATAGAACTTTACTGAACCTAAAGATTCAAAAAATGGTAAAAATCGGTTAAAACAAAGTTGTCAGCTTGGCTCCATTTGAGCCACATTCTTGTCGCAGGCCTCACCCATGATAAACTCCAAAACAATGAGGGACTGAGAGACATCCTTGAACTAAACAACCACGTCGGTAGACATCTCACTATTCTGCAATGCAAACGAATAGTTGCCGAATTGCTATGAACCGAACATTGTCCTTATGATGAAGACAAGGCTTAATCGGCACAACCATGCAATATATTAACGATCCTTCAGTTGCAATCTCGAGGGTAACAGGGAAACGATCGATCCTCTACGACCTCTGCGAGTATCCAGCACTAATCAGGTAAGATTCGTCGGCAAATCCAAATGGTTTTAACACGACATCAGTTCATAACAATAGTTGGCTAACATCAAGGGCTTCAGCTATCACGCTATCTAGCTCTACATTACTTAGGCGACGCTACTATAAACCAACCAACCCGGGTCCATCTGCGGTGAAAGGACGCTAGGATCAAAAACTTATTGCTCAACAAATAAACGATTTGAATAACTGATTTGTTACTGCTCGTCTCGCTATGTACATTAAGGTGGTCCAAAAAGCATCCCTTCAGGAGACTGCTAGGAATGACACCCAATTGTTTATTTAATGATTCTTTAATATTAACTATTTTTCATTGGTCCCCAACAACTCCAAAGATTGCAATAGGGGACGTTTAAAAATGGTTAGTATTAAAAAGTTGTCGAATAAACAACTGTGTATTATTCTTTGAAATCTTCTGAAGAGTAATACAGTTTGCCGATTGAAAAACATTGCTTCTTAAAGGTTGTATTCCATTTTGCTGAATGAAATCGCAATCATTTCACGTAATAAGTATCTATGGCATGATCGTAACAAAACCTTTGGAATTTGCAATGTGCCATACTTTCTCAACTATAATTTCGAACTTGTTTAAGCAACTAGCAAATTAAATGAAATACAGTCGAATTTTTCAACTTAAAAAATTAATTTTATTTTCAAGGTACTCGTAGAGTTAAGGCTTCCATTGAAATGTGTACAACTAAAATTGCGGCTTATGCCATTTTAGATCGCCGCAACACCGACCGTACTTTCGCCGACATACTTGATTTTGCCATAGGAATCTTTAAGGAAAGCTGTAAGAAACCAGAAAATTTTTATAATTAGTACAAGAGTAATACTAAATGTATTATAATTGAATATCGAATGGAATAGGAAACCTTAAGCAGGGATTACACGATTTGTACATTTGTACATTTTGTCAGTCACAGTGTGTTGTTGTCTAGAAATTTGTACAAATCATGTGATCCCTTCTTTAGCCAGAAGGCTTCTTGATCTGATCTGAGTTACTTACCAGGGTCGATTTTTCCAACAAAACTGCGTGGGGGCAGCGAAGCCGAATACAACGAGGATAGAGGTCCGTATTTCTTAACCAACAATGGGTAGCCAATTTCATAGCCGTACAAGTTGAGCAGATCCCATTTGAGAGCGTTGATTTTGGCAGCGGTTGCCTTGGCGCCAGCGGCATTCGTCAGTGCGGCAGCCTGAGCTTCCACATTCGCGGGTAGTGAAATGACTTGGGCACCTGAAGTGCCACTGCCACTACCACCAGCACCAGCACCAGCACCATATAATGGCGCTGGAGCGCCGTAACCCGAAGCCCACGCGGACGTGCACAAACATGCGGCCATGACTGCGAAGCAAACCGTGAAGCGAAACATTTTTGTTTGATGGATTTTGCGTTTTTGTGAGTATTCTAGTTTGCGATTTTGTTTTGAAAGTATTCTAATGCGTGGTTTTGGTGCGACAAATGGTAAACTAATGTGGCGTCATTGTTTTAATTTTGCTTTTATAGCAAGTACTTGGAAACGAACTCAGTGGTGTGCCATTTTACGTGACTAAATCTAGAATTCATAGCTGCAAGTTGGCCGCGACAACCACTGGCTGGCAAATGCACTAAAGACGCCACAGATTAAAGCCGAAATAGTGGCTGGCCGATGTGGGTAATGGTGCAGTGCGCAATTTATGGTCAACATTCTCAGGCAATGTTGGGCTGTGTGCGGCGATAATTTTCAACTTCGACGAGCAGCGGTGGAGCGATATTGATTGCTCGAGAAACTGCTGCTGCCATTTCGGTTCTGGCTTTATTATACATACATACATAGATGTTATAAATGTTAGCAACGTGCATCAGCACTTAGTTATGTACTCGTAGAAGTAGCAATTAACAATTAAACATTGATAACTGGTAGTTTTGAATAAAAAAATGGATGGCGAAAGGCAGGTGCGGGTTTGACTCTTCTACACAATGGCAGAAGAATATGTTTGAATGTTTCTTATAATTATGTAAGTGAGTGTGTGCAAATATTTATAGAAAAATTTTGTGAACATGTGTCGTAAATTATTAATTTCTCTTGCTATGTCAATGCAGGGCCCTGCCGATGTATTTCGTTAAATCAATTTCGTAATTCAAGAAACTAGTTAAATAGTTCTCGGAACATTAGCATCTTTATGTATAGTTTTACTCTCAGATAGTCAAGCAGAATATTAATCTTGAAAATTTTTTAGATGCTTCTAGCTTTCTATGGAGTTACATATATTAGAAGTTTCAGTCTTCCTCCACTCGAATAGTCGTTTTTCAGGATATCGAGTGATCAGACGCTGAAATTGAGACTAGCTTGAGCCGAAATTGCCTCCTCTTCTGTATCATTGTAGGTTATTTTTTGAAAAGAATTTGCTGTTTAGACCCCAGGATTGTTCAATACATATCTATGTATATGCAGAACGATGTTGAAGTGGAATAAAAGTATACGTCACATATTTACAGAGACAGACCATATCTAATATTTTCGTTCCTTTGTAGAATAAGGAAACGATACTAACTTGCTCCTTAAGTGCCTCAGCATCCATTCACTCATTCGGTTTTTTTTATTACTTTAGCATTTAAATTGATCTATAAAATACTTGAGATGAGGTTCATTGAAATTCCACTGTGATTTTCAAATAGAATAGAACAAAGCGGTTTCGAAGCTTTCTGTTAAGTGTTTTACAAAATAAATGCGGTTGTGAAATTTATGAAAATTAAACGTTAAAATTCTCCACACACCACATTTTTTAGATCGAGGGTCGTAAACGCATCTGGCAACGCTATGGACGTTACATTCGTCTATGTGAGACCTCTTATCGTCAGCCAGCATAACATAGCCTAATACAAACCAATAAAATGTTCCTTTAATGCTTTTGCAAAAAAGTAAATACTTTCGTAATCACCCTTATTATGGTTGTCGTTCTCGACACGAATAATATTGACCACTCCTAATGGCATCACCGTTGTCAATTTCGATAACTATTGACGCATCACGGCAACGGCTAAGTTATATTGTTTTTGACGTTGGCTAACTTGTAGTTCGATGTTCATAAAAAAACAGGTCTGCTCAAAAATAAAAACCACAATGAATTTTTATACAAATATCAATGATATGTATTTATTTAATGAAATGTATTTATAAACGGTCATCGGTTAAACAACACCGATTGGCGAAATATGTATGATAATGATAATTTGTCATAAAAACATTACCTGTGCGGTGGCGTTTTTCTTATTAATTTCAATTAAAATTATTATCAAAAAAAAAAAATTCAATTAAAAATTAAAGATTTATACTCCAAATGGTCTTAGTCAATTTATTTAACAGTCTAATAATTCAGTCCATGTTTTTATTTGACTTAATCCCTAATATTCCTTTAGATTTGGTCTAATCGAATAATGCTGCAATAATCGGTCGTCGATGAGATTGTACAAATTCAATGTAAGGTATGTATGGATGTATGTATGTACATTTAAAACCAATGTCGAGAGATTTAAAATACATTCGCGCAGTATTACGTAAATGGGATGCATATAAAACGAAGAAGAAAAGCAAGTTCCCTGATTAATAAACTTTTCATACAATTTTAGAACTTTTCAATGCGAAGCTTTTATTTTAGTAACTTTGTAAATTTTTTAACTTAATAAAATCGATCAACTCATCTAATCTATATTGTATATATATACTTTTTGGAATTTTACCGCTGCCAGCCCCCCGGATTGAAGAATATCGAAAACAAAGAGACCCGTATTTTTTAATTTTAAATCGGTTAATTTTTCACCGTGTCGGCGGGCTTCAAGTTTTCCATATATTTTACATTGGGGAAAATACATTTTTTGAGAAATTGCTATATAGTCGTTAAAAATAAATATTTTTTGATCTTTTAAGAATATTTCGCTTCAGAAAAATAAAATTATGATGCATATTTGGCATTAAAATTTTACTAATAATTTTTTCGTAATGCGCGTGATGATCGCAAAAATTACATATTTTTTTAACCGACTTCCAAAAAAGGAGGAGGTTATCAGTTCGCCGGAATATATATTTTTTTTATGTATGTTACCGCATAACTTTGCACCACGTCAACCGATTTCGATACCGATTGCATCGGAAAGGTAGTGTCCCAGAGGTGGTCCCTTACTAATGTGGTTTAGATCCGATCTTTGGATCGTGAGATATATATATATATATATTTTTTTATATGAGAATTGAAGTCGGTTTTTTTTTGCTGAAAATTACTTGTTATATAAGAGATAAGTTTATCGGTTATAAAAAGTGGTTAGTAAAGGTTCGAAGTCACATATATATCAAAGTGTTATGTTTTGAAGATCTTCGAAGTGAAATAATCCTATTAGATAACAAATATTTGCATTTGACTTATTTATAGCAATATGGAAACTTCAAAGCCTCGGCGGCACGGTTAAATATTAATCGATCTAAAAATAAGAAAACTCGGGTATTATTATTTTCGATACTTTTCAGTTCTGGGGGATGGCTGGGATAAAACTTTTGGACCACCCTATTGTACATACATACATTTGAAATATAAATTAGACTGAAGATACCTGCTAACATAATAAAGTTGGGTCATCGCATTTATTTATTTATTAATTTCAACTAGGGCATATGCATTCATCCATCCATGCATCCTGCTGCTTCATATAACACAAATGGAGAAACCTACAATTTTACGCCGCCTCCGAAAGGCAGATGGCTTTTATGGTTTATATTTTCTCAGGCAGAAATACACTCAGCCGTTTGTTATTGTCTGCCGAGGGGCGGCAGCGGTTAGAAATCACTTTTTCTATTTTATATATTGCTCGGACCGGGGATCGAACCCAGGTCCTCCCAGGTCAACATTTTACCCAGCAATTAGTTTTATAAGTTGAATTGAATTTGAAATGCTTATTGTGGACTTTTACTCTAGTGAACTAAAGGTTAAGACCAAATTGTGAACCGTAATTTTATTTTCACTTTTTAGTTAGAGTTCATGGAATTTTATTAGGTTATGTATGTGCTTTTTATTCAGGGATTATAATGCTTGAAATTTTTTCGAAAAACTGGGCTGTAGTCTTCGCCATAAACACTTTCAATGGTAATTTAACACATTGAAGTATGGTACTATACATCTTTTAATTCACGTAGCGGAAAATCAAAACATTTCATTGAGTGAACTTAAAATCATTTTGAAAACCTTACTGCAAAATAGCCACGAGGGCATCTAAGGTTAGAACGTTTAATTTCAGATAGCCAAAGAAATTATTTCGACGCTTTCATGATATGTGGTACTTTGGCTATCTCTGCTCACTATTAGCACTGCAAGTCTCGACAGATTTTTTCTGTAAAACTAATAAACCACAATAAAGCTCTTTCAATTCAATTAAGGCAACATTTTTTTATTCACCAAAAAATAGTATAACAAAAAGTTCTCCAAACATTTCTCTATTATTTTTGTACAACAAACTTTTTCAAGCAAAATTTTGAATTTATTTACTGGTCAATCCTCCAATAAACTCTACTACT